GGGGAGATGGCAGTTTTGTGTCTGAACAGTTATACAGAGGCAAGCTATGAAAGAACAAGCTAGACACAAGTGAAGACACATGAGCGAGAGGATGCGAAGGAACCAGAAGATGAGAGCAGATTGCCAAAGTTAGAATGTGACCAAGCAGAGCAGTTCAGTCAGAAGCCAGAGAAACTGGACTGAATTAGTCAGCTTGGAAGATTAGATTGTACAGAGGCTAGAAGCTCCCATGCCTAGGCCTAGGGATAGTTAGAACAGAAAGAGAAACTCTCTGGGTTCAGCCCAAACTGTATATTTGCACAGCGTGTGTACAGCTCTCATCTCAGCCCATCATCTGAGGAAATAGACATTTATAGGGGGATGTTAGAAATAGGAATCTAGGACTGGGTGGTGGTGGCTTATGCCTTTAATCCCAGCACTTGGGAGGCTTGAGGCCAGCCTGGTCCACAGAATGAGTTCCAGGAGACCTGTGGGTACATAAAGAAACCCTGTCTAATCCCCCCATGCCCAAAAAACCAAAGAAGAAAGTAAGGAAATAGAGTTCTATTGAGTACCTTCCTTGGTGCAATGGATTTTTTTTTGTTTGTAATATATTATTTTTTTTCTACAGGAAGTATTTGGGGTTGGTACTGTAAAGATTGAGGTTATTTTGTATGTGCCATCATTGGAGTTGGAGCATCCTATACCAAATGCAGTGTCATCCCGGGGGTATGATATATGAAAAAAAGACTCCCTCTAACCATAGTTGACCCAGCTGAGATTAGAAAACATCAGTCTGTGATAATTTGATAAATGTAGCATCAGGAACTCCCATCACTTCAGATTAAGAACAAAAGGGAAAAGTCTTCAGAGGGAGGTTACTAAAGTGGGTATGGGGAAAAGACAAAGGCTTTAGTGTGTCTCACTTCTAGCAAGAGCATTGATACAATGGCTAAGCACTGTTGGGATAAGAGGCAGAGTCTACAGGAGAGGTGGGCACTAGAATTATGAAGTGGCTAAAGAACATACTCTTCAGAGTTGGGTAGAAAGATAGGAGAGCTAGGGTACAGAAAGAAGTAGGTTGAAAACCTTAAAGGGCGTCTGGAACGTTGTAGCTCAGCTGGTAGAGTGTGTAATTAGCATGCATGAAGCCATAGATTCAGTTCCCTCATGGATGATGCATATGTCATTCCAGGCTTGCATAGTGAGCCCTCAAGGCTAGCCTGGGCTACATGAGATCCTGGGTCAGAAACCAAATTAAAACCAAGACAAAAATACTTTAACTAGTAGTTTGTTATAAGTAAAAAATATCCAGGAAGAATAATGGGACTACTCACATTTTAATTCAGGGATAAAAGAATCAACTTATACAAGGGTTTTTTGTTGTTGTTGTTGTTTTAGATTTATTTATTTATTTTATGTATAAGTACACCGTAGCTGTCACCAGAAGAGGGTATCGGATCCCATTACAGATAGTTGTGAGCCACCATGTGGTTGCTGGGATTTGAACTCAGGACCTCTGGAAGAGCAGTCAACGTTCTTAACCACTGAGCCATCTCACCAGCCCCACAAGTTGATTTTAAAGGAACAATGAAAAATAAAAATTAATTTGCTTCATGGTAATACCCAACTTCACGTTTTTTAATATGCTGGAACATAAGATTATTGAGCACCTAGTTGGCTTTGAAACATTTTTTTTTTTTAATTTTGTGGGGCCTGGAGAAACGACTCAACAATTAAGAGCATTGGAGGACCTGGGTTCGATCCCCAGCACCTACACCATGGTCCACAACCATCTGTAATCCCAGTTCCAGAAGACCCTCTTCTGGCCTCCTTGGGTACTAGGTATGCACACTGTGGACAGACATACATGTAGACAAAATACTCATGCACATAAAAGAAACTTTAAGAAAAAATTTTGCCGGGCGGTGGTGGCGCACACTTTTAATCCCAGTACTTGGGAGGCAGAGGCAGGCGGATTTCTGAGTTCGAGGCCAGCCTGGTCTACTGAGTGAGTTCCAGGACAGTCAGGGCTACACAGAGAAACCCTGTCTCGAAAAACCAAAAAAAAAGAAAGAAAGAAAGAAAGAAAGAAAGAAAGAAAGAAAGAAAGAAAGAAAAATTAAAAAAAAGAAAAAAGAAAAATTTTTAATCTTGAAAGTGAAAATTGGGAGGATCCTCTTTATTTTTAATTTTAAAATTGATTGCACTAACTGTGTCTATGTATATCTTTGAGTACACATGTTTACCAGGGTGTGTGTATGGAAGTCAGAGGACAACTTTTTTTTTTTTAAAGATTTATTTATTTTATATATATGAGTATACTGTAGCTGTCTTCAGACACACCCGAAGAGGGCATTGGATCCTATTACAGATGGTGGTGAGCCACCATGTGGTTGCTGGGAATTGAACTCAGGACCTCTGAAAGAGCAGTCAGTGCCCTTAACCACTGAGCCATCTCCCCAGCCCCAGAGGGCAACTTACAAAAGTCAGTTCTCTCCTACCACATGGGTCCTAGGGCTCAAACTCAGGCAGTCTGGCTTGGTGGCAAGCACCTTTACAAGCAAGCCATCCTGTTCCTGTCAGAAAAAGGATTAGTTAGCCAGTTATGTAAACCATTCACTTCTTTTGTTTGGTCCTCAATGGGTTTATAAGTTCAAAGAATATACCCTTGGAAGTTTTGATTTAGGTGAGTATAGTGTTGTTTTTAATAAGGCCTTTCTATATTACCCAGGCTGGCCTTTCTGCTTTAGCTTCCCAAGTGCTGAGATGATGATAGACCTGAGCCACAATTGATGCTTTGTTTGTTTGTTTGTTTGTTTTTGTTTCTGTTTTGAGACAGAGTCTTGCTTTGTATCCCAGGCTGGATTTGGACTTGTTATCTTCCTACCATCCAGGAATGGGTTGGTGTAACCACTCCCAGCGTAGTTGTTCTTGGTGCTATTATAATACTTAACATCCTGCTGACTGGCTAAATACATATCTAGGGCCTACCTCAGTGGTAAATGACAATAATCTCAGCAATTTAGAAGGCTGAGACAGGAGGATGATGAGTTTGAGGACAGTGTAACCCAAACAAAACTAAACAAGTAGATCAGGCTTACCCAGCTTATGGTCATTTTCTATCTGTGGCAAATGTTAAAATAAGAGCTGAATTTCTAACTGGGTATGGGGCATAGACCTGTAAACCCAGTACTGGGAGACAAGGGCAGAAGGATCATTAATGGGAGGCCAGCCTGGGCTACATAGCATGGCTATTCTGGGTCTTATATTAAAAGAAATTAACCTGCCCCCTTTCATAAACTAAGTAGAAACTGCGGAGTAGTGAGATGACTTGGTCAGCACAAGCACGTGAGGACGTGCGTTTGGTTCTTTAGCACTCCAGGCCAAAGCTGGAGCTGGCTGGCTGGCCAGCTGGCCAAATCAGTGACTTCCAGGTTTGGTGAGGAAGTAACCGTCTCAGAAAACAAGGAGAGTGATTGCAGAGAAGATTCATTGTCAGCCTCTGGCAGCCTTCTGGAGTTGATTCTGCATGTTGATCCTGGGAATGAACTCGAATTGTCAAGAAAGGCCTTTACACACTGACCTAAACCACTTTAAGTTCCTGATTTGGGGTAATTCAAATGCCCTCCAATTATGTTTAAATTGGAATTTATGTTTAAAAAATAAATTTGGCAGTCTGTATATAAATGCATTTTTATTTTTCCTATAAAATGGCAAAACATTTGCAAGCTGGTTCTTGTGGTCAGCATTCAGATATCTCTGCAATATGCTCTTAGGAGCTACATAAGTGGCTTCTGGAAGGCAGACATCTAGTCTCTAAGAGAAATGCCTTTTCTGTGTTCTCCCCACCGCTCTGTGGAAGCAGTCTGCACATGCTCTACAGAGCTTGTGTTTTCAGTTTTAAGGATAGAAGCAAGGGGGGGGGATGGGAGGACTTCCTGTCTTAGTGTAAATATGGGTTCCTAGAATCCTGCCAGTGTGAGGGCAACAGCAGTCCAGTCAGGAAGAGGTCTGCAAGGTGGGTCTGGCTCTGTAAATGCTAACTGAAAGCCTCTGCAGCAGCTCAGTTCTTTTCCTTTTTCTTTAGTCAGCAGGGTCCCATGGTGACCGGTTTTGAAAGCAATAGTCCCCTTCAGCAGTTACCTAGCACCATGGCAACCAGGACGTCAGCGAAGCAGGATAGACCCACACAAAACAGCTGCAACTAGGCTTCTACCCTGCTTCTAGTTCAGCTCTTCCTGAGGCCCACTGATAGAGCTAAAAACATCTAGGCTTGTTTACCCCAGCTTTCCTGTGTGTTGACGGGTATTTTCCCATAAGCAGAGATGTAGGAACATATAGTAAACTATGTCTTGAACCCCCACCCCTGTAAAAAGAAATACATAAGAATATATTTAAGGGATAACTTAAGTTACAGGACAGAGGCTAGAAAGCAGATTAGATTTAGTGAAATAAACTGATTTTTAGGAGGCTACGTGTAGTGAGGTGACAGTAGATAAAGTTAGAGCCCTAGATATACTAGGGATGGCTTATATTTAGATACAAGATCAGGGGAAAGCTTCAACAAATATTTTTATTTACCTGAAGCAGACAGATGGCTTTAAGGACCGCAATGCTGTCCGTGGTGCTGAACACTGCATCGACCAGATGTGCTCTAAGGGTGCCCCCAAGATAGATTAAGGAACACACCCGGATGCTGATAATAGAAAGGGGTTGAGGAATTGGAAAGAAGGCATGATTTTCTTCCCCTCTGAAGCAACCCTGAAAGCGCAGGATAAAATGACCAGATTGAAAAAAGAAAGTGAGGACAGCCGGAGGTCTGTGTGGCTGAGACTTTCCCTTTTCATATGGAGATGTTCTGATCAGAGCCAATCAGGTCAGAGAGTTCTGCTGCTTTGCTCCTGAAAAGAGGAGTGGGGGAAGGGAGAGAAAAGATGGCCACATTTCCCCCTCAAGCCACATGATCCGTTTCCCATGTGACACATTCCAGAGCCCTGGAAAGGAGAAGGGAGGGGCGTTGAGAGAGTGGGGCTGGGGGTGGGAAGGTTTAGCAGTGAGCCTTCACAGCGTCATCTTCTCTCTCTACCAGGAAGCAGGCTGAGGGCTGAGGGAAGGCAGAGGAGAGAGATGAATGTGTTCCAAAGGTTGCCTGGTGGCTCATGGCATCCTCCAAAGTCCTGTCTGCGAGCTGTTCCTGACCAAGAAGACCCATGGAGCCTGCCTCTGAAATCAAGTCCCGATGAAGGTATGTATGTGCTGTGCTCCTCTCTCACAGCTGAGATGTGGCTCACAGGGACAATACCAGCTCTTTCTCCTATTTTTTTTTCCAGGAAATTGGAGATTTTTGTCCTGGCTTAGATGCTTGTTAGGGGTGTTAGATTTGTTACAGGTCCAGAAAAGATGTCTAGGTAGTTCTGTAAAATAAATACTTCTCCATAGTAAGGTCCTATTGAGGAAAACAAAATTGCTTGAAAATCGTGTGTAGTAATTGGTAATAAAACCATAAACTCATTGGTGAAAGGATCTCTCCCTGTTTAATCCTGGAAGGGGGAGGATCATTACTCAGAAGGAGCTAGATTTCATTGTCACTATAAGAAAATCCTGTCTCATCTCTTTGAGCTGCTGTTCTGTGCCCGTGTTCCCAGAGGTTACTGGCTGTAGCTCAGGGAGCCCGAGTGGGCAGTCCTGCCATTCCTTTGTGCTCCTAGCTCATCCTTCTTCTGATGTCTCCAGTACCAAGAGCACTGATGATTGTCCCGTGCTCTGCCTCAGGACACTAGACTGCCACAGAATTCCACATGTTATGGAGAGCCTTAGGGGGGGCTCTCACAGGATCTGCCAATTTTAAAAGGCTACAGTCTGCCATACACTCACCTTGGTTCCTTCAAGCATTTCTACTCAGGTCAAAGAGAAAGAAGAGCTAGCGAATTCACATTGAATTTCATTTAATAGGTACTTGAAAAAGTTCTTGGTGTGTGCAAGCAATCATTCCAAGCATGTAAGTAATCATACAGACTGTAATTGAGAGATAAACTCAGGCATAGAGAAGTTCAGCAACTATTCTAGGGTAACTTAGGTAGCACGTAATAGAACAAGAATTGAATCCCAAGACTCTGAATCTTAAAGTCCTTGTTTTTAATCACTGAGCTGAATTGCTTGCCTGCTTGTGTTATCTCAAATGATGTCTATAGTCTGTTGGGCTACAAATTTTGTTCAGCTGACGCTACTAGATTGAGTCAGCTTGCCTGGCTAAAACAGATCCCCAGTGAAATCTATATTTAATTTTGAATTATCCCAATAGTCATGTTCTGTACCCCAAATAACCCAGTAAGTAATTGCCTGTTCTTTCCCTCTTGTGCTACATAGATATCTAGTAGTAAAACACGGTGTTACTATGGTGATCACTGATGTCTAAAGGAAAAAGATAAATCTGGAATTATGTTATGGTGGACTTTTAAATCAAACCTAGAAATATTCTCCCATTCTTGGAACCCAGTAATAAGCCCGCCTTAGGCATCTGATTTTCAAATTAATATATCAAGACAGGTGTGATGGCTCATGCCTGTAATCCTAGGCCCTAGGAAGGAAGAGTGCCACATATTAGAAGTCTACCTTGACTTCAGAGTCAGTCTCCAAAAGAGACTTAAAAATTATGGATATTAACTATGATGCCTGACTGAGTTTGCTGTCTTAAAACAATATGCTTTTAAAACAAAGATCTCTTTGCAAATTATTTTAGGATTTTTTTTTGTTTGTTTTTTGATTTTGGTTTTTTTTGAGACATGATTTCTCTGTGTAGCCCTGGCTGTTCTGGAACTCACACCATAGACCAAGCCGGCCTTGAACTCAGAGATCCACTTGTCTTTATCTCCTGAGTGCTGGGATTAAAGGTGTTTGTCACCACACACCAGCCTTATTTTAGGTTTTTAAGGGTAAAAGAATTTACTAATACTTTTAAATAAAGTTAGGGATTTCTGGGGCTTGGGAGATGGCTCAGTGTATAAAGTGTTTGGCAGGTATGAGAATCTGAGTTTGAATATTCAGCACTGAAGTTACAAAAAATTGTATGTGGCTATGTGCACCTGTAATCTCAGCAGTGGGAGGCAGAAGCAGGAGGGTCTCTAGGGCTTGTCAAGCTTTACCTCTGGGTTGCACAGGCATGAACACACACAAACACACACCCACATACATAGGAGTCTCTTGAGATAAAGAATTTTCTTACCATGAGTGGTAGAACAATGCCTACGATCCCAGGTGAGGACTGAGTAGTTAAAGTAAGAGGACCACCAAGAGTTCAAGGGTAGCCTGGGCTACAGAGTGAGCCTCTGTCTTAAAAAAAAAAAAAAAAAAAAAAAAGATCCGGGCAGTGGTGGCGCACGCCTTTAATCCCAGCACTTGGGAGGCAGAGGCAGGTGTATTTCTGAGTTCGAGGCCAGCCTGGTCTACAGAGTGAGTTCCAGGACAGCCAGGGCTCCACAGAGAAACCCTGTCTCGAAAAAACCAAAACCAAAACCAAAACCAAACAAACAAACAAAAAGAAAGGTAAAAGATCTTTCTACTTGATCCTGTGTGGGTTTCCTTCTGGCCTTTGATGGTAGAAGGTGCTGATTTCGTTCCTACAGGCTGTGTAGAACTGAAAGAGGTGCTAGGTCTAAAATATAAAGTGGAAAGACTTGCACACTTTTTCTTCCAAAACATTCCATTTTGGACCTTTGAGATCCTAAGTGTCATTCTCTGGGTAGTTCATCACAGAGCACTTTGAATAGTGGTTGTGTCCTCTGGGATATCCACGTTTCTCTAGGACAGCTAACCTGAAATGTGGACTAGCGAGTGGCACGCTCTCAGGACACATGTGGGAGTGTGCCATGGGAAGACTCAAGACTCCTAGTAGAATTCTACTGCAGCCAGTTTTGGGGCCTGTGCCTATTTTATTTGTTTATCTGGTTAGTTTGCTTTTGAGACAGGATTTCATGTAGCCTAGGTTGACTTTAACTTGCCATGTAGTTGGCACGGGCCTTGAGCTGATCCTGTTTCCCCTTCCCAGCCCTGGGATTACAGGCATCCATCAGCATGCCCAGTTCTGAGTCTATTTTATCTGCATATGTTTTAGTGAAGCAGCACATATGCAGTAAGAATTTGGCAGCCACCAAAGTATGCTTGGAGTTTATGTACACTAGCTAGGCCCATCGTGAACCAGAGCTCAGTGGTATCTATAAATTCTTCACTGCTCCTCCTCGTAGTTTCATTTGTACCTAAGATGAAGTCCTCGTAGTATTTTGTGGAAAGGTAAACCGGGACAACCCCAACAGTCTTTCCCTTTCCTCAGATGTTTGTCTAACACTTCCTGCCATTAAACCGCTCATGTCAGGTTGAGTTGAGCATCTCCAGTGCTCTGCTCCATGCATTCTTTTATCTAGTCTGTCTGGCACCCACTTCCCAGAACACTGTCCACAGAATCACAGAACTGAGTAGACCTTTCCCTAAGGACCTTTGAGATCCTAAGTGTCAACTCAAGCTTGAGCCCAAAATGTGGCAGTTAGAACCCACATGAAAAACTGTCTCAAGCGTTTTCCCTCTGCAACACTGGTCAAACCAGGCCTCACGTGTGCTGGTGAACTGCATTCCCAGCCCTGCCAGGGCACTTTTGAAAGCTTGCTTAGCATTTGAATTCAAGTTTGCAAGCTAACTGTGATTAAACTAGTCACCCTCAGGATCAGATACATAATACAGCCTTTATTATTTTTCTATCTAATTAAATCATTACAGAAAGGAAGACAAAGCTTAAGAGTAAAGTGACCACAAAGTAAAGAGCCTCCTTCCCTCCAATGTCACCTGCTAGGTTTGGCACAGAGCACAGACAGCAGCCTGTTGGAAGGGCAGTTATGCAGCTTACGACTGCATATAGACAGGCCAGCTTGGCTGTGGGACCCAGCAGGGCTTTCTACCTGCCCTCTTGCCTCTGAGAGGAGTGACCCACTGAACTCAATGAACAGAAGGTGGAAGAGAAAGTAGAGAGTCATTGCCTTGAGGAGAGCCCCTGACAGTGTGGTTTGGAGGGTCTATGAGGAGGTGGACAGCAAACCTGGGTGCAGAATCTGAGGAAGCAATAGCTAGGTCTCATCCATAAGATGTAGCTGCATCTCTCCCTGGGGTGTTTCTATCAAAGGGGCAACGATAGAGCCAAGGGCCAGAGTGTAGGTGGTGTATCTTTCATGAGCTACGGCAAAAGGTGGAATGAAATGGAGGTGTGTTCTCTAAGGAGATAGGTTAAGAGCATAAGGAAAGTTGCTGTCATGATTTTATTTCCTGTTTGTAGTCACTTTCCCTTGACAGAAACTTTAAAGAGGCATCTCCTGGAACCTTCATGCAAAAGACTCCCCCAGACACTTGGCAGCTGTCATAGCAACTCTGTGATATACATTATCAGCCCTGTTTTCCAATGAGGAAACTGCAGTTCAGAGACATTAACTAATTTGTCTAAAATCACTACAAGTAGCCAGCATTAAACTAGTTCCCTTGGATCCTAGTATATTGCCAGTAATGTTCTTTCTTCCTGGCTTTAAAAAGAATGTATTTGCGTATCAGACTAATAAAAATATGGTTCTCAAAAATTGGAGAACTAGGGTCTGGAGAGATGGCTTGGTGATTGAGAGCACTACCTGCTCTTCCACAGGACCCAGGTTCAATTCCCAGCACTCATGGTGGCTTAAAACCATCTATAACTCCAGTTTCATGAGATATGATACCTTTTCTGCACACTCAGAGTGACCAGGCATGAAAGTAATGCACAGGCATACATGCTGGCAAAATTCCATAATTTTTTTAAAAAATAAATGGGAATAAGTAGAGTATTAAGAAAATCTGTTAAATACTCATGCATTTCTTACTCGTTTTCAATTTATATCACTAAAAGTAGATATTTGTTGAGATCTTGCTTTGTTCTAGATATTGTTTTTGGCTCCTTTCTTTGTTGTTATTTTTTTAAGTGTGTGTGTGTGTGTGTGTGCATGTGTGTGTAACCTGGAGCTAGAGATGAACTCCGTATCCTTCTGTCTCTGCCTCCCAAGTGCTGTAATTATGGGCATGCAGCACACGCCTAGCTTAGCCCCTTTCTCATATACTTCATCCCGACTACAAATCAGGTTGTTACTCTCATCATTTTAGTGATGAGAACAGTAAGCACAGAGATAATTAACTTGCCAGAGGCCACACAGATTGGGAGTTGAAACCCAGAAAGGCTACCTC